ACAGTATTGTGACTTCGCCCTGTCTTTGAAAATAAATGCCTACGGCCGAGCGCTGCGTTAGCACGCGGTAGGGCCGCCCGCCTACAGTATTTTATGTAGTTTTGTTTTTGACGCGAGTGTAGGTAGATTACTCGTTTGTCTCTTTTTTCATCCTAACCACTTATTTATATATTATTCCAGATATTTTGCCCGATGGAAAAACCGAAATACCTAAATATTAGAAACAAATTACGTACTAGTAGATAGGTATATAAAAAATATTCTTTAAAGGTAAGACACCTTTCCAATATTTCAGGTAATTTAAAAAATGATATCTCTGGGTGTGTTATTGAAGAGTTCAAGCAACCACAAACAGCAATTGTGCTGTTGTACAATATTAATCGTCGTTTGTTCTTTTCCATACTAAATTATGTAGGTATCTACTTAATTAAATCAAATATTTACAATACAAAACGCACGTTTAAGCACGGCTAACTGCATAAGAAGCAATTCAGACCGTTCGGTCGTCGTTGCGGCGCGGCGGCGCATTCGCGACTGGGTGCCCGCCGAGAGCACATCGAACTCGAGTGGCGTAGGTAAGACTCGCTTTCCGACCGTTTGTATGAAGTTAGAATACTGTATGATATTATTACCGTCATATTGTCTAGTTTTTACGTTCGCCCTTGTGGCGGTCGCCTTCTTGGCGAGGTAGGGCCCCGCTTGCTTCTCGGAGCACTTGTGTTCCCTGAAGCGGCGGCGAGGAGTCCCCGATAGCTTCGTCCGCAACCCTCGGTTGGCGAAGTATGCGTAATGCATTTTCTAGACATAAAAAGAAATGATGTGGTGTCGTGGGACACCAGGTAGGAACGAAGTTCCTTCGGCTAATGTAGGGATGAGAGAACGAAAAGAAAGAGGGAGAAAGAGAAAGGTATTATACACTACTCGCTTGTGTATGCGACTGTCGCGCCTGCGCACGTCTCATTTAACGGTTTTATTCCACGCACTTTTTTCCACGGATTTTTTCTTACGGTTTTACTATCACATTTTTTTCAGTTCGGTCGCGCAGCAAAATCCCTATCCTATAACTTCGTTCCAAAAAAAAAGTCAAGGATGCGTGTGCAGAATTTTAGAAGGCTTGTCCAATATGGCATTGGTCACTATCATGATCATTAGCCTATTTATATCCCCACTGCTGGAGCACAGGCCTTGCCTATGGATGGAATTTGGAGATTGGGCTGTGACCCACCACGCGGGCTCAGTACGGATTGGTGGGTGCTAACGACTGCAGATGCAGCCGTGACCAACGGCTTAACGTGCATTTCAAAAAGCTCGGAGGAGCTCGAGATGATAAGGTTTTTTTGTTTCTTAGGTTTTCACGCACATCACTCATTAAATAAAACTAGTTTTTTACGGGTTAATGCACGAAACTTTATTTATTTATTGACGTTTCGTAGCCTTTACAGGCTACGTCGTCAGAATCAAATTTTATTTAATTTTGTCGAGCTACCTTCGAAAGACTTTTTATTGAGCGTTCGGTTATTTCATTGTTCGATTTTTAAAATTTTTATTGTCTATGTATGAATTTATTACTTAATTTAGTTATATTAACTAAAATAAAATTAAAATAAAATTTGATTCTGACGACGTAGCCTGTGAAGGCTACGAAACTTCAATAAATAAATAAAGTTTCGTGCATTAACCCGTAAAAAACTAGTTTTATTTGATATGGTTTTGGTCAGCTATTCGATGACCAACCATTATGAAATTAGTTTAACTTCCGCAATAACGGCTTGACTTCTGCTAACAAATTAGTCCAGTCAATTAAGGTTTTCACCTCCGATTTCGTTGAATCTCCATCGATTTACATGAAAATTGGTGAGCAGGAAAAGTGACATAGTGCCAACTTGCGCTTTTGCCCTGGGGGTAGATGCCACCCCTTGCCGGGGGGTGAAAATTATTTACACTTTCATTTCTTAAGGTATCCCCCCACCTACTCACCAATTTTCATGAAAATCGATGGAGGTTCACCGAAATCGGAGGTTGTGGCCGATTTTTGTCTTCATTGACTGGACTAAATAATTAGTTCTACACTTAAGTACGCACTTGAAGAATTTTAAGCTTTTTCGTACCACCTACTTACTATGCTATGGAAAATTAAGCCAGAAACATATTAACGTGTTTAACATCGGTTTCATACATTTACTATGGTTAGAGACATATTTAAAAGTATCGTGTCGTGTCGACGCTTTAACCTCTCTATCTCTCTCTAACCCATAATAAATGTATGAAACCGATGCGCCACGTCACGTTAATATGTTTCTGGCTTTACGCTCAACAATCTCTGCAGCCACACGAGCAGCTCAGTTGCCATGGCTACACTTTTTGTAGCGCTCGTGATTCGGCGAAACCTTGACTTGTTTTTTACTGTACGTATTATGTCATGCTTCCAAAGCCCACTCTCTGATAACTATCATAACTCGATAGAGATGTATTGAATAGCCTTTTTTTATATCGATTACGCTGACGTTTCGTTTTTTTCCGATACTTATAAGTTTCTTTTATTAAGAGACAGACACGCATGCGGTCAGTTTTTTATTATCTACTAGAAGGTCCAGAAACAGCATTTGATGTTGGATTTGAGAATCTTATTGGCAAAATTCAAACAAATTCAAAAAAGCCTGCTGGATTTACTGCCTTTGTCTTCAAGTTGCTAGCCTGTGTTTCAGTACAAGGTCTCCCACCGCAAATTGTCGAACCGAATGGCATAACTTTTGATTTTTACATGTTTTTGTAAAAGATCTAAACTGAATAAATTAATTTTGAATTGAATTGAATATACCCTTGCTCTGTGGAGTTCTGGAAACCATATGCACGAACATGACATGACACTACAGTATATCATTATTGGTTTAACATGGCTGTACTTCCTAATTGTTATCATCAATCTGTGAACGATTTGCACGAACCAAACTATTAATTTATACATAATAATTTATCATAATCGTTCATTTTTCTCTCTTCAATGAGTTTTACTAAAGGTCTGTATGAATTTCAAAAGGAATGGAGTGAAAGCCATTAATGAATATAAATTAAAATCTATACTATGTAATGAGAAAGGTAATATAATTTTAAGAAATAAACGACAAATTTAGCTATAAAAACGCATTTTATTTGAGAGGTATTTTTGATGATGATAATGATTTTCTTAGGTAACAGTTTTGTTTAACGTCTTTTAGCGACTTACTGTAATATAAAGAGTTACTGTAGAGTTATTATAGCAGTCGTTTGCACTATTTTACTTCGTAAGTTAACCTGTTCTACTCAAAACCGAAAAGCAACCCAATAAAATTTTTATATTCAATTGTCTTTTCTATTGATTGGTCACTATCAACGAATAGATGCTCTACATTTCGTAGAATCAATTATAAACTGACTTCTTTATTTAAATTGCTTTTTACTACTGGATGAAGCTTTAATTTTGTCTGTTTTTTGTTTCAATCAATGTAGGCTGTTTTATTTATAGTCTACTCCGAATATATGTTCCTAGTCTTATAAAAACTCATAAACACATACCATCGATTCGCGCACATCACTCATCTCCGCTTAATTTCATGGAGGTGCACGCCAGTTTGCCCCTTAATGCAATGTTATAAAGATCACTTTTCTTACAGTACCCAATCCGTCCAAGTTTTTGCTAGTTCAGAAAAAAGTTTGCGAATGTTTTTCTCTGGGCAACGCGTCTTGTCGTAACGATCGGCCATTTCCCATAATAATTGGCTTGTGTTTTTTTTTCTTCGCCTATTTCGGGTCAGAAGTTAGTATATCCTGTTTTTAACGAACTATAAATTATGGTTGATAAGTATATAATGTATTTTTCTGTTCTTTTTCTTATTGAATAAATCGATACAAGGAGAATCTTATATTCTTGCGTAGAGAAGTAGAAGTTGGACTCAACTAACCTACCTTAGAGGGTATCCACTATAGTATATAAATACATTATATTTCACTTAATCTTTCTATATATAACTAGCTGACCCAGGGGTTGTCCAACGGACAAAATTGTGAATCTAAACCATTCTCAGATCCCCTTGAACACACACAAAAAATTTCATCAAAATCGGTCCAGTCGTTTAAGAGAAGTTCAGTGACATACACACTCACAGAAGAATTATATATATAAAGATATACATGTTATGGGCCAAGTGATTAATGCGGGCAGTATTCATAATGCCAGGGCAGTATGAATAAAGCCCAGCCATTTGAGCCAAGTGATTAATTACAATCTAAATACCTATTTATCACATTGCCCGGCCATTATTAATAATGCCCGACGGCTCGTGGTCCATGTAATAAGTCAGTATTTGAGATAGCTTGAATTTATCGCTTGGGCTGGGCAGTATAAATAAATTCAAAACGTTGGTACTATATTCAAAATTACAGTGTCTCGCCATTTTGTGTTTGTTTTGAGATCTTGGTAAATAATAAATAGTATGGGCTCAACACTTAGAAAAAAAGGTAAATGTGGCTTTACAACAGTATTTAATTCAGAACCGACTTGGTCAACCCCGACACGCCGTGGTCTTGGTATGCCCTACCTCTAGAGTGTTTTTAGTGACAAAGCCGCAAGCATCGTGCGACCCGTAGCTGGCGACCAACAAGACCAAGATGTGAAGGGGAGTGATGCTTGTGACTTTGTCACGCAAAGTATTCATTTGAAATTATCAAACATGCTTTACATCACTCTGCCCAATAGGCAATGTGCATTATTCATAATGCCCGTGCAATGTGATAAATTGATTTGTTATAATCACATCGCCCGCTCTTATTGGGCCTTAGTCATATTGCCCGGGCATTATGAATAATGCCCGATTAATCACTTAGTCCATAACATACAAAATTTTAAAACCAATTTTGATGAACAGTAAGTGAACTTGGAGAAGAAAGTAGGCGACAGAGTAACCAACGATTATATCTTAATCATATATTGAAATATATCAGATAAAGTACAGGTACAAAATTACCTAATCCTACTCTCGTCACGCGGTTACAATAGTTTTTTCTGCAGATGCACACGTGATACCTAGCATATAGAGATATACCGCGGCTGAAAGGGGTCAGGGAAGCGTGAGGGCTGACTATACACATGTCCTTCTTGACGTTCTTTAAGGGGTACTCCAGTTTAGCGAACCTATGAGCGGCGTAACTCCTCCGGCTAGAATAGGAAGTGGCACCGAATGTGTGCCAAGACCTCATGGGATAGTGGGCTCGACACCCCCTCTGAGTATACACTTTGCCGACGTCCAGAAAACGCTTGAAACAACCCCCGGTGAACCAGCCATAGTACTCTCTTATTAGACTGGCACCCATCTCGTAGGGGTATTTGCTCCATTTCCTCTTCCTCATGGCTCTATGTCCGTCGCTATTTCTGTAACAGTAGGCACGGAAGAATCTCTTTAATGTCCTCGCTCGTCCATCACCCGATTCAAAAACATCGTAGCAAAGAGGACTTCTAGGTATATCGGAGGTATTCATTCCGCACCAGTAGCATTTAGATTTGAACGTGCCTGAGAAATAGCGGTTTATGAATATTGACCAAAATAGCCTCCTTGAAACATTTTGATTTAAGTGCACGATTGCTGAGAGGTTATGATTTGTTTGCCAATCAGTGTTGTTCGGTTTATTCATTTGGGTTTCATCTTCAAAATAATCTTCGTATTGATGGTACAAACTTTCTTGGTTTCGATATTCCGGCATCTCGTCTAAAAACCCTTTGTTTTCGTTATCCTTTAATTTAACATTTGGTAGTCTAAGTGAATGAGGTTTGAGGAGATCGGTGTGATCATTAAGATAATGTGAATCAAAACCTTCGGGGCTACCATAATCTGCTTTGAGGTATGGGAGCCTTCTTGTTATGTATGGCTTAAGTTCTGGTCTCTCTTGCATCAAGTCTTCGTACATAGCATCATCTAAGTCTTCTGGTATATCGATATCTGGTCTTGCGACGTACACATTCGGGTAACGAACCCTAGATAAAAGCGTAGTGTAAATTTTGTTAATATCAATCAAAAAGAAAACTATAACAAACGTAGAATGCATCAGCATTCAATGACAGTAAATAAATCATCGGAGTATAAGAATGACATAACCCCAGACGTAAGTCTATGCCCCAGACCTCAGATTATTTCATACCTTTTGTGTTTTTATTTATGGTAGTTGACAAAATTCTTTTAAAAATATTTTTTACTATAAGAGATCTTGGGTTCATTTAGTTTTTCAGCTTCGACATTGAATCCGATTTGGATTTCAATCGAAGCCATTCATTATGCCGATAATATGATAGTTAGAAATCTATTAGATCTTTAAGTACATGTTGCTTATTGTCTGTGTGCATGTAATTGAACTGCTTCTAAGCGGCTGGACAGGTTTCGATAAAATTTTGTGTGCAGTATCATGGGTCCCTGGATAGCTTAGATTCACAACTGGGTCTGGTAGATGGCGCTGTAGTAAGGTTCTTGGATTTTATCTCTCTGCAACCTTAGTTTTATTACCTTATATTTGCACTTTTAAAAGTAGATTTCTTCATCTATGCACGATGTAAATATTATTGCTACTGAATAATCTGGACCACTGCATTATTCAATTTATTTTATTCTTAAAATGAAGTCTTGTTTTGAATTGACAATTACAGTAGAATCCGTTTGTTATGACTCCGCCTATATTGACCAACCGCCTATTATGACGTAATTACTCAACGAAGTTTGGTTTTCATATAAAATTCATTGAAACAAAGTCGTCGACTTCGCTTACAGTGACATGTCGCTTATTATGACCCATTTTTAATCAATTTTGTCCGTTTATAGTGACCGACATGATCCTTTACACCTTCGGTAATGTTCGTTGATCCCGACGAGACATTCGGCACGTGGCTCGTTTTTGTTTTGAATATCAGTGAGTAATTTACAGTTGAACGTCACGCATTGTTTTTAGTGATATCCTGTGTGTAAAAAAATGTCATCTCAACGTCGTAAAGCATTTACTGAACAACTCGAAAGTGATAGGGTTAGAGGAAGTCGAGGAAGAGCAATTACCTACCGCAGAAGAGGCATTAAAGGCTACATTTCGTTTGGTGATTAAAAGAAGATTTTTTTTTTATTTTTCCTGAATTTTCTTTGCTATAAACCTCACGGAGCCCGAGACCTTTCCAACGAATGCAAAACCGTGGAAATCGGTACGTGCGTTCTGGAGTTATAGCGTCAGGAAGGAAAACCCGACTTATTTTTATATAGTAGATAGTATTAGAGTCTGTTATTTCAATAAAATGAAAAAAAAACAAAAGCAAACAAAAATGACAGATTCCTTAGTAAAAAATGAATAATATACATACATGTACATATCATGTGTAATTTCTATTTTGATTTGATAAGCTGTTTTTCTATTAAAATACATAAGTATTTACCTAAAAAAAGAAAGTTGTTCTTTTTCCACAAAACTGCTTAATATATGGCGTCCGCTTGGTATGACGTGTTTGTTAATTCTCTTCGATGTCATAATAAACGGATTCATGAATATTACATGGAGTACTGCTCTCATCTTTGGGCAGGGGCACCCCAGTACCAGCTTCTCCCTTTGGATCGCATCCAGCGCCGAGCGGCTCGAATCGTCGACGACCAGGACCTTTCCGATCAGCTTGATCCCTTGGCTTTGCGTAGGGATGTAGCTTCGCACTGCATCTTCTATCGCATTTATCACGGGGAGTGTTCTGAGGAATTGTTCGGATTAATTCCAGCTGCTGCATTTCGCCATCGTACATCGCGACAAAAATTACATCCCCATCATCTGCGTGATGATGCGTGGCTATCCACAACCGTGCGTTTTTGTCGAATTTTTTTACCACGTACGACAAAACTGTGGAATATGTTGTCGCCAGCAGTGTTTCCGGACCAATACGACCCAAGAACCTTCAAAAAAAGAGCGTACTCCTTCCTTAAAGGCCGGCATCGCATTTGTGATACTCCTGGTGTTGCAGGTGTCCATGGGCGACGGTGATCGCTTACCATCACGTGAGCCGTCTGCTCGTATGCCCCCTATAACATAAAAAAAAAAAAAACTACTGTAATCTCGTTTTGATAAATTATTGTAGTCAAACAGATACACAGTCATATCGAACTTGCAGTTTATAATCTAAAATTAGCGTTCTAATGACTGCGTCATCTTCATCATGATGTCACAGCAAATTGTGAGGCCTTGATTATGTCAAGTTCAGAAGTCCATCGCCCCGTGACTTGCAGCCAGCATAAGCTGAGCTCTCCCGTCCCTTTGATTAGGTTTCAGCGGTGGATGGCGGGATATTCGGGAACGAGGGGAGGGGTCTAGAGATTCTGGCCGGTGATCCGCTCGCTTAATAATTACTGATTGTGATTGTATGGCTTGTATGGGTGCGGGTAATGGGATCGGTTTTTGGAAGGTATCCGTCGTTTGTTCAGTTTTGTTGGGCGCCCAGTTATTGTGAAATTGCTACTATGAGAGTTGAAACATTTTCGAAGTAATGATGATACTAAATAAAACTAGTTTTAACGGGTTAAAGCACGAACTTTATTTATTTATTGACGTTTCGCAGCCTTTTCAGGTCTGCATCGACAGAATATTTGATTTTTTATTTACTTTGTCGAGCTACCTTCGAAAGACTTTTATTGAGCGTTCGGATATTTCATTGGAAGATTTTAAAAACTTTATCTATGTATGAATTTATTAGTTAATTTAGTTATATAGTACTTTATTTAAAATTCTTTTATGAAATTTTGAGTTTATTTATTTGACCCTTAGTACCGTAAACTACCACCGGTTCCAAAATTGGGAGACCTTTCTAAGAAGAACCGGAGAAACAAACTCAGAGAGGCTTTCTTAATTCTTCTTATGTTAAATTATGCAAATAATAAAACTAATAGTATCTGTTGGTCTTGCAGTGTGTGCTCGGGGTTGGGGTTGGGACGCTAACCGAGCAATTGTCAAAGTAAATAAAAATCATTATTATGGCGATGCAGACCTGAAAAGGCTGCGAAACGTCAATAAATAAATAAAGTTCGTTCGTTAACCAGTTAAAACTAGTTTTATTTAATGACTGAAGTGCGTGAAAACCTAAGAAACAAATAATGATGATACCATAAATACCTAGACACTAATATAGAAAAGGTTGTATTACTACATAAACTTGACTAGTAATCAAATCCAGAATATTCTCGACTATTCTTAAATTTTTAGATTATTTGGTTTGAAATAACTTGGAATTCTTATTGCCTTCAGCATAATTAATGCTCACCTATTCGATAAATTAATTATTGTAGAAGATACCTGCTTCATCGCCTATTACAGTTTCATTTCTTTCACTATATTGCCTGTATACTGACAGAAAATACTAATAAAATTGTACTTAATTCTTTTATACAAAAGTTTCCGTAGACAGATCCAATTCACAGAGTTCTATCCCGTAATTGCGTCGGATGTGAAAGCTCGTGTACTCGATTCCGAGATCTCGAATTGTCGAGTTGTTTCCGCGCGAGTGGAGTTGAATCGAGAAAGGTCAATCGCGATACTGGAAGCTGTGTGCATGGGTACTCGAGACGCCCTTAAGCGCGCGGCATGAGAGGCGAAAGGGTTGAATTGGCACAAAACTTTTAGAATTGTGAAGATGCTTTTCAGCATAGCTACTGGTACTTGAACTAGTATAGTATATTTTAAATGTAATAAGCTGCGCAGTAGTAAGTGGCTACTATAACCAACGATATTAAAATTAAATACCCTAGATACACCAACACGAACAAAATCGTGCCCGAGACCTGTCCAAAAGGTACACTGGACGATCCACGGCGCTTCGTAAGTTGATCGGTTTGTCAAAAACAATATAAGGCATTATTCAAACATTGAAAGTCATCTTTAATGCATACTGTATAAGGTCTTAATTAAAACACATGCGTAAAAGAGTTATGACAGTTCGAAATGCAAGCTCGTAAAATTTATTTATCGATTTATTGCTATATGCGGAAGAATATAGACCTTGTTACATTGGTTCTACGCTCAATTCTGAATGCGCTGTTAGCACTATAGCAGGTTCGGACCGCGAGGAAAAGAGACGGCTATATAACCGCCCATGCATTTAAATATCACAAATTTTTATATTAAATCAGTTTATAGTAAGTATGCTGCGAATATGTTAAATTAACAAACATTGATATTAGAATACCTTTCAAAAAAATTACACTTTACATATTATAAGCTTTTTTTTCGCATTTTTTCACGGAGCTCAGCGGCAAGTTTACTTTTCAACGGTCCGCGTGTGATTGTGAACCGAGAAGTGCTTGAGTGGAGTCCAAGCACTTCTTGATTGGGACACATTTTGAACGCACGTGGTGTAAATAGGGTATTTAATATCGTTGACTATAACTCATAGAATTTTGCGATACTATACAGTATAACTCGCGCGTTATCTACCCTAAACAAATCACATTAAAATCACACTACCTTTTAATGTGTTGTTTTGGAGAGAAACTTCTTTGAGCGCGATGAGGGTAAATTTTCAAGGCCGTGTCACAATTTGAGCTAGTGTTGCCGAACTATCGATATTAAAACTATCGACAGCTTACATCGAAAATCATATACCCCTATCGATACAACCGATACAACCGATAGTATCGATACTATCGATAGCTCAGAACAAGGCAATACTATCGAATGAGTGCAATACTATCGACACTATTGTAGTTCGTTAATAACACACTATTGATAGTATCAATAGTGTTGATTTTATCTGCAACAATACTATCGTATCGGTACGATACTAGCGATTGTTTTAGACTAAAATTTGTGATTGACTATAATACCTGAAAATTGTAAACAATACTATTGCAAATTGTTAAACTATTGATAGTATGGTTGCAAGTAAAATCGGCAGTATCGATACTATCGATAGTTTGTTATTAACGAACTATAATAATCCTATCGATAGTATCGATAGTATTTAACTCATCCGATGGTATTGGCTTTTTCTGTGCTATCGATAGTGTCGATACTATCAGTGTCACCGGGTTTGGGGACGGCGAGATCCTAGAGGGACCTCAAGCCGAGAATTGGCGAGTGCCTCTAGAGGTATTCCAGGCGGATGGCGTCTCCCCACGGGGGGAGTCTCCTCTCCGTCTGGAGCTTCTAGACTACTCGAACCTGAGGGGGCTAAGTGTGTTGTTGTTGGCAGCAGACGGGATTCGAACCCGCACCTTTCGCAATCCGGGCAAATGCACTGACCAATTATGCTAAAGCGAACCTGACGGCCGCGTCGAAATTATTCTAGCCATTCTTAAGAATTTCGACGCGGCCGTCAGGGCCGCGGTAGCATAATTAGTCAGTGCTTTCGCTCGGATAGCCAAGGGTGCGGGTTCGAGTCCCGTCTGCTGCCTGGGCGGGTGGAATTTTTCCTAGTTATATTTTCTTAAGATTTAAAATTCGTTGTTAGAAATAATCATTTATAGCTGTTATATAAATAAAACAAAAGATCATTTGTGCTTGTAATAAACTCCAAAGAGGATTTAGTATTAA